AAAAAAAAAAAAAAAAAAAAAAAAAAGAATAATCTCCCAGTCACAATCCCTGCAAGTTATTTTTTGGGTATCAACAGACTGATTGTAAATTTATATGGAGAGGCAGAAGACTCAGAATAGCCAACTCAGTATTGAAGGAGAAGAACAAAGTCTGAGGACTGATACTACTTGACTTTAAGATTTACTGTAAAGCTACAGGAGTAGCAGTGTGGTACTGGTGAAAGAACAGACCAATGAATCAATGGAACAAAACAGAGAGCCCCCAAATAGACCCACATAAATATAGTCAATTGATCTTTGATGAAGGAGCAAAGACGAATGGAGGAAAGATAATCTTTTCAACAAATGGTGCTGGAACAACTGGATATCCCCATGCAAGACACAGACACAGATCTTACACCTTTCCCAAAAATTAACTAAAAATGGATTATAGACCTAAATGTAAAAATACAAAACTATAAAACTCCTAGAAGATAACATAGAAGAAAACCTAGGTGACCTTGGGTATACAATGACTTTTTAGGTACAACACCAAAGGTACAATCCATGAAAGAAATAATTGGTAAGTTGGACTTCATTACAATTCAAAACTTGTGTTCTGCAAAAGATTATTATCAGGAGAGTGAGAAGATAAGCCACAAACTGGTTGAATGGATTTGCAAAAGATGCATCTGATAAAGAACTGTTATCCAAAATATACAAAGAACTCTTCTAAGATTCAACAGTAAGAAAACAAACAATCTCGTTAAAAATGGACAAAAGACCTGAACAGACACCTTGCCAAAGAAGATATCCAGATGGCAAATAAGCATATGAAAAGATGTTTACAATTAGGTGTCATTAGAGAATTACAAATTAAAACAACAGTATACATCTATCCGAATGGGCAAAATCCAGAACACTGACAGCACTAAGTACTGGCAAGGATGTGGACCAACAGGAGCTCTCATTCATTGCTGGTAGGAATGAAGCCCATGCCACTTTGAAATACAGTTCAGCAGTTTCTTAACCAAACTAAACATGCTCCTACCATACAGTCCAGCAGTCACACTCCTTGGCACCTACCCAAATGAACTGAAAACCCATGTCCACACTAAACCTGCACACAAATGTTTATAGCAGCTTTATTCATAACTGCTAAAACTTGGTAGCAACCCATATGTCCTTGTGACTGGATAAATAAACTGTGGTACATCCAAGCAATGGAGTATTCTTCAGTGCTAAAAAGAAATGAGCTGTGAAGCAATGAAAAGACATGGAGGAAACTTAAATACATATAACTAAGTGAAAAAAGCAAATTTGAAAAGGCAACATACTGTATGATTCCAGCTATATGACATTCTGGAAAATGCAAAACTATGAGATAGTAAAATGACCAGTGGTGATTGGCAAGGGTTAGGGGAGAGAGAGGTGAATAGGCAGAGCACAGAGGGTTTTTAGGGTTTAATGAAACTACTCTGTGGGATACTATACTAATGGATACATCTTATACATTTGTCAAAACCCATAGAATGGGGCTTCCCCGGTGGTGCAGTGGTTGAGAATCCGCCTGCTGATGCAGGGGACACAGGTTTGTGCCCTGGTCTGGGAAGATCCCACATGCCGCAGAGCGGCTGAGCCCGCGAGCCATGGCCACTGAGCCTGTGCGTCCGGAGCCTGTGCTCCGCAACGGGAGAGGCCACAACAGTGAGAGGCCCGCGTACTGCAAAAAAAAAAAAAACCAAAAAAAAAACCTGTAGAATGTACAACAGCAAGAATTATCTCTAATGTAAACTATGGACTTTGGGTGATAATGATGTGTCAATATAGGTTGTAACAAATGTGCCAGTCCTGGTGAATGGTGCTGATAGTGGGAGAGATTGTAGGTGTTTGGGAACAGTGGGTATATGGGAAATCTGTGCTTTTCTCTCAGTTTTGCTGTGAACCTAAAGCTGCTTTAAAAAATAAAGTTTATTAATGTAAAAAGATCTTGTTACCTGGGTGTGTGAATTTGTCAGAATTCATTAAATGGTGCATTTAATATTTGTGCATTTTATTGTATGTAAAATTTACCTCATACTGAAAAAAAAAGTCATATACAAATATTGAATTCTTACACTTAAATTGGAAATATCAGTATGAGTTCATGATATATTTTCCTTTAAAAAAAAAGTGTATTTTCTAAAGAGACCTTAATTGAAAAAGGAAAAGAACTGGCAATATTCAAGGTAAGAGACTCAGGGTAATTTTAACTGTGGCCTTTCAGATGAATTAATGGATAAACAGTATTTTTAAAACAAGAGAGTACTACTCAAATGTGCTGTACCCATCCCTTGCAGCAGACTGAAGGTAGGCATTTTTATCCCCATTTTAATACAATAAAACTAAAGTTCAGAGAACTTCAGTGGCTTACACAGAATTTTAACTTAAGTGGGAGAGGTGGCAGTTGCTGGAAAGGTTTAGGATGGTCCTACTAAAGGTTAAGGATAGATTATGGAGGAAAATAACCCCACAAGATTCTTTTTATGTGTCTCTTTGCTTGAGCAAGAAGGCAGAACAGCAACCTACTTTCCTTTCTAGAGGTTGAATTTCTACCTGCTAGCCAGGACAGCTAGGAACCCAGAGCAGGTAGATGACCACTAATTTATTTACCTGGTCATGTTATAATGAGATAAACATTTATTAAACATCATGTTTAGCAAGGCTGTGATTCTGCCCTATTTGTTTCTCTAGCTAACATACTGTTAAAGTTTATGTAACAGTTTTAATATTCAGGATCAACAATTTAGACTGAGAAGAAGGGAAAGAACCTCAGTTGAGTTGACATTGCTTATTTTCCTGGAACCATGAAATTGAGGTTTAATTGATAAAGTGAATAGTAAATTCATAGATTTATCTTTGAGAATTTCTTTTTCAGGTCTCCCCCTTGCACAAATTCAAGAAGAGAGTGAAGAGGCTCGTTCTGCATCTTCTTTCTTGGCAGAAGTTTCTCAGTATACAAGTGGGTGAGTAACAGTCCATTAGTCCAGTCTATTTCAGTATTGTTTTTATAATTCCACATCTTTGTTCAGTTGTTTGGCAGTATAACTTTTTTTTTTTTTTTTTTTGTGGTACGCGGGCCTCTCGCTGCTGTGGTCTCTCCCGTTGGGGAGCACAGGCTCCGGACGCACAGGCTCAGTGGCCATGGCTCACGGGCCCAGCCGCTCCGCGGCATGTGGGATCTTTCCGGACCGGGACACGAACCCGTGTCCACTGCCATTGGCAGGCGGACTCTCAACCACTGCGCCACCAGGGAAGCCCAGCAGTATAACTTTTGAACCATTTTAATTCCAGTTTTTAAAAATCAGTTAAAAGGCTTTTGGAATAGCAACAAGTAAAACCTACCCATTCATTTGTTTCTGAGTCTAAAACAAGTTTTTACACATCTTTACTCTTGTAAACTGTTATGGGAGCATAGGCAAAAGATGATAGAATTTTAACAATATGCAGCAGTTAGAATTTAAATAAATGTAAAAAGTTGAAAATAGGTTGCCCTTTTAAAGCAATTCATACAGTTATACACTTAACTACCTAAAGGTTTTTTAAGGCTGCTGTGAGTAATATGTGAAATATATTGGCAATGCAGAGGTTAAAACCAAAAGTACAACAGAGTGCTCTGCTGCGCTTCATCTGCTGCCAAGTTCTGCTCTTTGTTTTCATCTTCTTCGCCAGTCAACCTTTTTCTTTTAGTTTAAGTACTGAATATGTGTGCGTGTGTATTTATTTTTATGTTAATAGACTATTTTTTAGAGCTGTTTTAGGTTTACAGAAAGGTTGAATAGAAAGTACAAAGAGTTCCCATTTCCTCCCTCCCCCCACCAATTTCTCCATTATTAATGCATTTGTGTGCTACATTTGTTAAATTGTTGAATCAGTATTGATACATTGTTATTAACTACAGTCCATAGTTTACATTAAGGTTCACTCTTTATGTTGTAAAATTATAGTATTATATAGATTAGTTTCACTGTCCTGCAAATCACCAATTTTAATACAGAAATCAGGAAAGTATTAACTTTTTTTTTTTTTTTTTTTTTAGCTAACTTGGCTGATTTGGTTAGTTATTGCTAAATATATTTGCTCCACATTTCATTACAAGGGTTAGGAGAAAGAAAAAAGTAGTTCTTTGCCTTAAACATCTAACTGGTAAAAAAATGCAAGATTTGTGGTTTTCTTTAGCTAGTTAAATATTTTGTTTTAAATATTTAAAAATTAAATGGATAAAAAATTATTTAATGCTTAGCTATGTTTTTGAAAGGGGATGTGTTTACAGTCTAGATTTTAGTCTGATCTGTATTCTGTTCTGTTCTGGAATTATTGCCTCTTAGCTGCATTGGGTGTGGTATTCCTGGCTGGTATTTATGGGTCTCGTTGAAGAATGGCATCATCCCTTATCTTCGCTGTGCTGCATTGTTTTTCCACTATTTACTTGGAGTAACTCCACCTGAAGAACTATTTACCAGTAAGTAGGACTATGAAATCACAGAGTAGTAAATAAAAGACTTTTTTTTGTTACCTTCAACCTCAAGAATACAAGGTGAGAGCAGGCAAAACCACTTCATTCCTCACCTCTTTCATCAGTGTTCATTCCAAACATGTGTGCGCCCCTGCCCTGGTGTAGGTAAAAGGTGAGGCCAGAAACCAGGTTAGCCTCACAGTCTACAAAACCTATTCATGGCTCCTATCTATGTACAGTTTTTGTACTTGAGCTTACAAAATGCCTGCACGCAGCGTATAATGGTTAAGGTATACAAAAAATTAGAAAGATTGATTGCTTTTAAGGGAAGAGAACTGTTTGGCTAAGTAGGAGGAAATTTTTATTATATACTCTGTTTCTTGAATTTTGAACATATGACTGTATCTATTATGAAAGAGTTAAAATGCTGCTGGGAAAGGGCTGTTGTGATAAACCAAGGCTATGTGTATTTGAGTAACAGAATCATTTCCTTTCTCCTTTACTTGCCTTAAATCTACATCAAGGTAGAGAAGGTTTCCTTGTGGCTTTGTATAGGTTAAAATCAGAAGGTTTGTATGATTTTGGAAGAGTCATCAAATTTGCTCAGAGATTCTTTCTTTTGTCCTTTTCTCAGGTCAGCCTTAAGAAGGTTCTATATCTTGAACTCAGTTCAGTAGGGTTTGTTAGATGTAGGTTTGTTCTGATTCTGTATAAATATGATGCTACTTTCCAAGTGGTTGTCAGTACAGATCTGTTGTTTTCATTTTTTAAAAAATCATATATTATCTAGTCAGTGCTGTAGTATGGCAGTGGATAAGATAAAGTCCTTTCTTTTATTGAGAGGAGATGAAATACAAACAAACATAAATATATATAGTATAATGTGAAATGGTAATAAGTGCTGCAAAGAAAAATAAAGCAGGTCATGGGAGTAGAGAATGCTGGGGTAGAGTCATGGAAGCCTTGTTTGTGAGGAGATATTGAGCAAAGGGACATTGAAAAAGGAGATAGGGTTGAACTGGGTGGGTGATTGAAGGAAGAGTATTCCTAAGCAGAAGGGACAATAGCTGCAAAGGCTTTGCTTGACATAGTCGAGGAATAGTAGAGATGAGTGGCCGAAGCCTATTGAACAGGGGGGAGGGTGGTAGGAGATGAGGTCCAGATCAGGTAGGGCCTTTATGCCACAATAAGGACTTTTGTATTTTGTATTTTTGTGGTGGTTTGCTGTTGGAGAAGTCTGATCAGGAGAATGACTCAATCAGATTTAAACGGATCACTGTGAAATTAATTAATTAATTAAAAAAAAAGGATCACTGTGTCTTGTCACCCACAGTTTCATAGAGTACAAAGTATACTCTGTGTAGACAGAGTATAGAAATGAGCATAAACAATGTAGAAACTCTACTGTTGACCAGGTAAGAATAATGTACTTATTAAATGTATTTTTATTTCCTTGCAGATCCTGCAGAAGGAGAGTACAGTGCACTCTGTAGCTATTTATCTTTACCCACAAATTTGTTCCTGCTTTTCCAGAAATATTGGGATACTGTAAGGCCCCTCCTGCAGAGGTACTGTGGGGTTAAAATATCATGATTGGGTTATTATACAGTTTGAAAATGTTAAATTAAAAATATTTGCTAAGCTTTTAGATTGATTAGCATTGTTTGAAGGGGTGACAAAAATATATGAGATTCCTAATTCACACACATAAGGAGTTGGGGATAAGACCAGCAGCAATGGGCAGCTGGAATTTCTGCTTGTTCCACCATGACTACCATTCATGGTTCTTATTTTCCCCACAGCTGCTATCTCATCCCAGTTTTAAATGGGGTGGGGGGTGGGTGGAGTGAGGGTAGGTCCTGTTGTAAGCAGCAGTACAGTCACAGTTAAACATCGGAGGAACCCAAAGTGGGGCTACAATAGTAGCATATCTCATATGGTAGCACATATCTCAGCAGGGTGACTGAGGAGGAAATAAAGGTCATTTGGTAGATCAGAGATGTATCTAGTTAAATTTCCTGTGGAAAAGTGTGTCTTTTTTTAATTAAAAATTTCTTCCTACCCCATTACTTACTGGCCCTTCTGATCACTCTCTACCCTCCAAACCTCCAGTCTCCTTACCCTATCTTTGCTGCCACCATTTTCCATCTTTTTTTTTTTTTTTGAGATATAATTGACATATACCATCATTTTAATAATCAGTTCTCATCATGTTACTCTTACTTTATTTCCCCCATTAAAGATTCTGGCATCCAATTCCAATACTTGTTGCAGGGGGGTGGGTTGTTTTTCCCACGCATCCAGCAAGTAATTCTGCAACATCAGCTGGGTGTCCTGCTATTCAGCTCAATCCTGATGCTGTCTTCCTGGAGATGCTGTCAGATTCCATGGGTTAAGGGCTCAGTCCATAAAACTGACGACCCCACCTCCACATACTTCAGAAAGAGCCAGTCACAGTCCAGGTTGTCACCTGTGCTCACCAAAAGACTATAGTTTGATTAGTCTGTAGAGCAGCTCACAGAACTCAGAGAAACATTTTACTTACTAGATCATCAGTTTTTTATCAAAGGATATAACTCAGGGCCAGCCAGATGGAAGAGACACATAGGGCAAGGTATGAGGAAAAGGGAGTAGAACTTCCACACTCTATCTCTGAGCACACCACTCTCCCTGAATCGACACGTGTTCACCAACCTGGAAGCTCTCCAAATCCTGTCCTTTAGAGGTTTTATGGAAGCTTTATTACATAAGCGTGATTGAGTAAACCATTGGCCGTTGGCGACTGATTCATCCTCCACCCCTCTTCCCTCCCCAGAGGCTGGTGGGTAAGGGGTGGCTGAAAGTTACAACCCTCTAGTCACTGGTTAGTTCTCCTGGCTACCAGCCCTCATCCTTTTGTTCAAAAGCCACTTTGTTAACATAACAAAAGACACCTTTTTCACCCACATCACTTAGGAAATTCCAAGGGTTTTGGAAGCTCAGTGCTGAAGTTGTGCTCACCCATCTGTGCCAGGAACTGGGTCAGAGACCAGATATATTTATTATTGTTAAAAAAAATTAAGTTTGAAGATCTAATTGGCTTTATTAAATGATTTATGAATGGGCAGCATCCCATCTAGCAAGTAGAAAGGAGCCTTTTATAGTCAGCAGGGAGGTGGGACAAGGAAGTCATAAATGAGAAAAGGATTATTTCAGGCAAGGTAACCTTCCTTTGCGGGACAAAAGGATCTGTTAGGCAGATTACCTCACTGGTACTGACCGGGAAATTCCAGACCGATGGGTAAAGATTTCATTTCTGGGGAAGGTTGAAACTGCAATTGGGTTTAGGTGTTAAGTCTTGGTTTGATGGACGTGGGCTTAGCACAAGTAATTTCCATTTGGGGCTTGTCTCTTTTTTAATGTTGTCAGTCACAGTATCACACCCTTGATTTCCTTTAGTCTTTTCAATTTTCTACCCTTTTTCTTTCTCCTTTTTCTTTGATCAGTGTCTTTTTCCCTGCATGCCCATGTCAGGATTTGTGTGAATGTCCGCCCATCTCCTGACACCTTTCTCTGTGCTCTCACCACTTCTTTTGGGTTCTTTTCTGTGTTTTCTCATTTCTCATGAGGTATTCTGATTTTCAGTGTGATAAAAATGAATCCAAAAAAAAAAAAAATCAGTATCATGCTTTGTGTTGAATGCAATCACAGTAGGTTATACTAATTTTACTTTTATATTGTTGGAGTCGATACATTTTTAACTTGCCATTTTAGTTTAGTGTTAAAAATTCAAACTTTGAAACAAAGTCTGTACCATTCCTGGCTCTGCTTGCCTCAGAGCCTTTCCTCATTGTCTGCTCTGAAAGGCAGGGGACTGACCTCTGTAGGCCATATTTCCCAGTCTCCCTCGTCTGTTGGCTTCAGCCTGTGGGAGACACTGGCAAGATATTGGAGGTCAGGAGGAAGAGAGAAACCTGTGTTTAGACCACCTCTCTCTGCCTTGTGGGGCATCCCTGCCAATGGCTACTGTCAGTTCTACTGATGTTCTACTGGATGTCAGAACATCTAGTTCCCACCAGACAAGTCTACTGTAGTTCTAGCATCCACCAGTGACCCTGAGCTCCAACAAAACCACTCCAAAAATATTATTTTGTTCCTCCAGCCTGGGAAGGGTAGTAGCTTCCTGTTATTGGCTAATCTTTGGGTTGCCTTGCCTGTTTTGACTCCTGGTTGGCTTCTCAGCCCTTCTGTCACCTTTATTTCCAATTCCTAGTATTAAATTCCCTCTTGTTAAAATACTCAGATTGGTTTCTGTTTTTCTAGTAATAGATAACCTTTTAAAAAAGAAATTAATAAAAGAGGGGGGTTAAATAGACAGAAAAAAGAAGGGGAGAAAAGAAAGGAAGAAGAAAGGGGGACAAGATGTAAGGCAAAAGAAGTCTAGCAGAGGGCACATGGAAAGAAGGGACAGGTTTGGAGAGGATGGCTCCATGAATATTCCACTGAAGTTGTGATGACCCATTTGCTTTTTCTCTCTGCTCCCCATATAGATGGTGTACAGACCCTGCCTTACTAAACTGTCTGAAGCAAAAAAGCGCCGTAGTCAGGTTGGTTTTACTTCTCAGTCCTTCCCCATCTACAAGTTGTGTTTCCAAAAGTAGTTGGTTGATGAGGATGCTTTCTAGTCTGTTGTCTTCTACTTTTATATTGTTGGAGTCGATACATTTTTAACTTGCCATTTTAGTTTAGTGTTAAAAATTCAAACTTTGAAACAAAGTCTGTACCATTCCTGGCTCTGCTTGCCTCAGAGCCTTTCCTCATTGTCTGCTCTGAAAGGCAGGGGACTGACCTCTGTAGGCCATATTTCCCAGTCTCCCTCGTCTGTTGGCTTCAGCCTGTGGGAGACACTGGCAAGATATTGGAGGTCAGGAGGAAGAGAGAAACCTGTGTTTAGACCACCTCTCTCTGCCTTGTGGGGCATCCCTGCCAATGGCTACTGTCAGTTCTACTGATGTTCTACTGGATGTCAGAACATCTAGTTCCCACCAGACAAGTCTACTGTAGTTCTAGCATCCACCAGTGACCCTGAGCTCCAACAAAACCACTCCAAAAATATTATTTTGTTCCTCCAGCCTGGGAAGGGTAGTAGCTTCCTGTTATTGGCTAATCTTTGGGTTGCCTTGCCTGTTTTGACTCCTGGTTGGCTTCTCAGCCCTTCTGTCACCTTTATTTCCAATTCCTAGTATTAAATTCCCTCTTGTTAAAATACTCAGATTGGTTTCTGTTTTTCTAGTAATAGATAACCTTTTAAAAAAGAAATTAATAAAAGAGGGGGGTTAAATAGACAGAAAAAAGAAGGGGAGAAAAGAAAGGAAGAAGAAAGGGGGACAAGATGTAAGGCAAAAGAAGTCTAGCAGAGGGCACATGGAAAGAAGGGACAGGTTTGGAGAGGATGGCTCCATGAATATTCCACTGAAGTTGTGATGACCCATTTGCTTTTTCTCTCTGCTCCCCATATAGATGGTGTACAGACCCTGCCTTACTAAACTGTCTGAAGCAAAAAAGCGCCGTAGTCAGGTTGGTTTTACTTCTCAGTCCTTCCCCATCTACAAGTTGTGTTTCCAAAAGTAGTTGGTTGATGAGGATGCTTTCTAGTCTGTTGTCTTCATTCTCACTCAGCATATTGTTTCTTAAATTTCTGTTAGGTCTTTGCCGGAAATTCGATTCTTCGTACAGTTGATTTTTTTCTTGGAGTGGCTGTCCTTTGCCTCTTAAATTGTTCGACACCACCAGCACCTTAAGCTAGTGCATACCTGTTAAAAGGCTTCTTGGACCTGCTAGTGTATTAAAATGAGAGGGTAGTGACAGTATTCATATAAACCACTTTTTTTCATTTTGAGAATAAAGATATAAATAGAACTATTCCCTCCTCCCCATCTCTTCCTTTCTATAAGCTTAGAGACTACCCAGCAAAACTTTTCTTCAGCCCCACTATCTCCCTTAAGTTATGGTTTAATCAAAATCCATCTCTTCCTCAAGGACAGTTTTTTTTTAATTTATTAATTTATTAATTTATTTATATTTTCTGGCTGTGTTGGGTCTTTCTTGCTGTGTGCGGGCTTTCTCTAGTTGTGATGAGCAGGGGCTACTCTTCGTTGTGGTGTGTAGGCTTCTCATTGCCGTGGCTTCTCATTGCGGAGCACGGGCTCTAGGTGCGCGGGCTTCAGTAGTTGCGTCAGTAGGCCCTAGAGCACGTGGGCTTCAGTAGTTGTAGCACGTGGGCTGAGTAGTTGTAGCTCATGGGCTCTAGAGCACAGGCTCAGTAGTTGTGGTGCATGGGCTTAGTTGCTCCGTGGCACGCGGAATCTTCCTGGACCAGGGATTGAACCCATGTCCCCTGCATTGGCAGGCAGATTCTTAACCACTATGCCACCAGGGAAGTCCCCCTCCAGGACCATTTTAAATGTTACCTTCTCCCTGAAGCCTATCCTAACACATCCTCTCATATGTGTCTGTTCATGTGTGTGTATGTGTGTCCCAGCCAACACTGTAAATCACTGAACAGTAAACTCAACAGTGGCCAGAACTGCATGCTTATCTTCTTTGTGTCCCCTCCAGGGCCTGGTTTGTATTATGTACAGTCTCTGATTTTTATTCAAATTGCATTGCGTCAATAAACAAGCAGAGGAATTGACCCCAGCCTTAAATACTAACACCAGCACAATTTTTTTTTTTTATGGCTAAAGCAAACATTGTGAGACGGTGTGCATTTGCTACCTTCTTTTCTCATCTGTTTTCACCCCTTGAGTTCCTTTCAGCTTCTCCTTAAATGTGCATATGCTGCTGCCTAAGACTTAACCCAGCTTTAGTGATTTAGAGGTTATAGATCCACCTCCTGTGCTCAGATGCAGTAGTATTCACATCACCAAGAAAAGAAGAGTTTAAAAGATGAGTGCATATTTTAGCACTATTAATCTCACAGAAGTCATTGTGTGCCTTTTAGACATCTGCTGTTTCCCTAGCATGGTACTAAACTAAAATACTCTGAGAGAGTTAAAAGATACAATACATACAGCTTTTGGTCATAGGTAGTTTATAGTCTAATTATGTACGTAAATGAGATACAGTATAATAGTATATGGAATATACTGTTAATGCTATAGAAATGTAAAGAGTAAATATTCTTAATGATGTAAGTTTAGTCTTAGAGGAGATAATTTTTAGCTGAACACAGAAGAGATTATAGTAGAATTTGAATTGACTGAGGTTTGAGAAAAGAATTTCATGTTATTCAGATGACCTTCCCCAGGACACACATGCAAGGCTTTTGTCTTATTACTATGGTGAGAATGAATAACATTTGCAAGCATGTAACAAGTACTAAGTATATTATGTTTCACTTCAATATCTTATTGAGTTCTCAACAGCCCTTTGTGGTTCCTTGATACTATTCATTTCTTAAATCAGCATGAGTATTTAATGTTTCTCTCCTCACCCCCCCCCACCCCGGAAATGTGTTACTAAATTGATGGTGTGCCCTATGATTGAGAAAGTATAATATGTTTATTCTCAGTTTACTGACCGGGAAATACAGGATTAGGTTCAGTGACTTGTCAGGTGTCAGAGAATTTAGGATATGTAACCAGGCCTGTTTGATTTCAAAGTCTGTGTTCTTAACTACTACTTTATATTACCTTCCTAGACAGTATAGAAATATAGCTAGAACAATTTAGTCTTAGGAGATAGTAGGAGTTGGGTTTAGAGAGGAAACCAGCTGATGAAAGATCTGGAATTCTAGGCTGAAAAGTTTAGATTTAATCTAGTCAACAGTAGGAATTACTATGGATTGCAAATATGAATCCTTAAACTGTTTTCTTTTTTTTGGCCACGTCACACAGCTTGTGGGATGTTAGTTCCCCGACCAGACCAGGGATCAAACCCATGCCCCCTGCATTGGAAGCACAGAGTCCTAACCACTGGACCACCAGGGAATTCCCCTCCTTTCATTATTTTTAAAACATTCTTCCTTCTGTTATTTGGTCTGTTTTTGATCTGGGCTTATTTACTCATAAAATAAAATTGCCATTTAAATTATATTTCTAGGTACCCTAGAAAAAGAAATAGTTTGATAGAGCTTCCTGATGACTATAGCTGCCTCCTAAATCAAGCTTCTCATTTCAGGTAAGAAGAATTATATATTTAAAACTTTTTTGAGCTTGCAAACTCACCACCACTAGCAAACTTTTTTTTAAAGTGACCACTGAGCATCCTCTGTAACAGTGATTTTCAATCTTTTTTTTTTAATTGAGGTGAAAATCACATAACATACAATTTTGTATAATTCATTGGCATTTAGTGTATTGCCAATGTTGTGCCACCACTGTTTCTCTCTAATTTCAAAACTTTTTGATCACCCCAGGGAAACACCTTGCATCCACTAAATAATCATTCTCCATCCCGCTCTTTCCCAATTCTGTAGTAACTGATAATCTGCTTTCTGTCTCCATGGATTTGCCTCTTCTAGATATATTATATAAAAGAAATCATACAATCTATGACCTTTTGTGTCTGGCTTTCTTCACTTAGTATGTCTTTGAGGTTCATTCAAGTTGTAGGATGTATCAGTACTTCATTCCTTTCTTGGCTAAATAATATTTCATTGTATGTATATACCAAAGTTCATTAATCTATTCATCCATTGGTGGGCATTTAGGTTGTTTCCCTCTTTTGACTATTATGAATAATGCTACTACAAACATTCATGTACAAGTTTCTGGTTGGACATATATTTTAATTTTTCTTGGGTATATGTACCTAGGAGTAGAATGCTGGGTCATTATGGTAATCCTATGTTTAACATTTTGAGGAACCATTAAACTGTCTTCCACAATGGCTGCACCATTTTACATTCCCACCAGAATGTATGAGGGCTCCTATTTCTCCATATTCTCACCAGCACTTTTTATTTTCTCGTTTGTTTGTTTTTTGTTTTTTAATTAAAGCGATCCCAGTGGGTGAAAAATGGTAGCTCACTGCGGTTTGATATACACTTCCTTAATGATCAAGGATGTTGAACATCTTTTTGTGTGCTTGTTACAGATTTGTATATGTTCTTTGTAGAAATGTGTGTTCAAGTTTTTTGCCCATTTTGTTTATTTATTTTTCATTTATTTTTTAATTGGGGTATAGTTGTTTTACAATGTTGTATTAGTTTCTACTGTACAGCGAAGTGGAGTTCCCTGTGCTATACAGCAGGTTCTCATTAGTTATCTATTTTATACATATTAGTGTATATATGGCAATCCCAAGCCCATTTTATAATTGGACTATCTTTTTTGTTGTTGAGTTGTAAGAGTTCTTTTTATTTTCTGGATATTAAACCCTTATTAGATTTTAATTTGCAAATATTTCCCCCTATAAGTTGTGTTTTCATATTCTTCATAGTGTCCTTTGATATATGAGTCCATCTTATGTTTCTTTTGTTGCTTGTGCTTTTGGTATCAAAACCAAGAATTTGTTGCCAAATCTGAGATCATAAAGATTTATTCCCATGTTTTTTCCAAATAATTTTATAGTTTTAGCTCATATTTAGGCTGTGAATCTGTTTTGAATTAATTCTTGGAATAAGGTAGGAGGTACAACTTCATTCTTTTTTTCATGTGGTTTCCAGTTGTCCCAGCACCATTTTTGGAGACGGTTTTTTCCCCCTCATTAAATAGTTTTGGCACCTGCTTTGAAAATCAATTGGTCACAGATGTTTGGGTTTATTTCTGGACTCTCAGTTCTGTTCCATTGGTCTATAAGTCTATCCTTATGCTAGTACCACATTTTTTAATTACTGTACCTTTGTAGTAAGCTTTGAAATTGTAACATGAGACCTTTCCAACTTTGTTTTTCTTTTTCAATATTGTTGTGACTATTTCGGGTCCTTTGCGATTAAATTGGAATTTGAGAATTCGCTTTTTCATTTCTGCAAAAGAGGCAATTGGGATTTTAATAGAGATTGCATTAACCTGTAGATTGCTTTGGAGAGTGTTGCCTTCTTAACAATATTAAGTCTTCCAGTCCATGAACATGGATGCCTTCTATACTTAGGCCTGCTTGAATTTCATTGTGATGTTTTGTAGTTTTCAGTGTACAAGACTTTTCCCTCCTTGATTATATTTATTCATAGGTATTTTATTCTTTTGAAAGCTATTGTAAATGAAATTGTTTTCTTAATTTCCTTTTTGGATTGTTCATTGCTGGTGTATGTATTTATTTTTGGCTGCATTGTGTGTTCGTTGCTGCACGCGAACTTTCTCTAGTTGCGGTGAGCAGGGGCTACTCTTTGTTGCGGTGCACGGGCTTCTCATTGCAGTGGCTTCTCTTGTTGCAGAGCACGGGCTCTAGGCGCATGGCCTTCAGTAGTTGTGGCTCGCGGGCTCTAGAGCGCAGGCTCAGTAGTTGTGGTGCATGGGCTTAGTTGCTCCACGGCATGTGGGATCTTCCTGGACCAGGGCTCGAACCCCGTGTCCCCTGCATTGGGAGGCGGATTCTTAACCACTGCACCACCAGGGAAGCCCTGCTGGTGTATTTAAACACAACTGATTTTTGTCTGTTGATCTTATACCCTGCAACTTTCCTGATTTCCACTAGGTTTTTTTTTGTTGTTGTTAATGGTTTCTTTCAAAGAGCATATTTAGGAGAGTTAATTTAAAGTGTTTGTTTATTATATCTCATGGCTGGGCTTCCTTAGGGATGATTTCTGTCAGTCTCTTTGGTTTCCTGTGAATGGGCCATACTTTTCTGTTTCTTTGTAAGCTTTGTTGAGAATGGGACATTTTGAGTATTGTAACATAATAACTCTGGAAATCACATCCCAGGAATTGCCATTGTTGCTTGATAAGGCTGTAGTTACCTGTTTGTTTTAGTGACTTTTCCAAACTATTTTTGCAAAGACTCTATTCGTTGTATGTTCACTGAAGTCTCTGTTCCATTATCTCTGTGGTCAGCCAGTAACTGACAGAGATTTCCTTAAATGCCTGGATGCAATAAGAAGAAAAAAAAAAAAAAAGAGAGAGAGAGAAGAAAAGATATAAAGACTATCTGCCTCTTTAAATCCCCTCTACTACCATCACTGCCAAGGAAGCTGCTTCAGCCCACGGCAGCTGAAACAATGGTTAGTTTCTGTGCCAGCCCCTCAGTGAACTGCCAGGCAAAACTAAACATACAACCCTAATTTTTGAACACAAGGTCCCTTTTGCCCACCTTGGCACCAGCATGCTGCACCAGGATTGTGGGCAGCCACCCCCATAGCTACCTGCTGTGGGGCTGGGGGATAAGGGATGGTAACCACTACACAGAATGCCAAAATTCACTGAAATTTACTAGCCTCATTTTTGTCAAGCACTCCTCTGGACACTGCAAGTGTTATCCTGACTCTGAGTTCCCAGAATAATTGCTTCAGACAGTTCTTGCCAGATCAGTAGTTGTTCTGGTAGAGAACCGCACTGTTCTCAACTTCCCAAGCAAGTAGTAGTCTTAGAAATATCTTTTATACATGTGTCTTTAAACCCTGTTTTACATGCATTACAGTGTGGTGACCACATTCATTCACTGAAATGACACTGAAGAACACTTTTTTTTCCCAAACACAATCTTATATGGAAGCTCATTATAACAGTAAAACAGATAACATAGTGACTCAAAGTGCAAGCCTGGGTACTAGAAAGAGGAATATACCCCTTAGCCTTTTCTGGCACCATGTTCCTCCTACCTCAATCAGATTAAACACTACTCTAAAGCAGTGTTTCTCAAACTTCCTTTTATCTTCATCTTCCCTTTCACTGATCACTTTCAAATCAAAAAAATACTGGCTGATAAAGACTAGTGAGAAGCAATAAAAACAAGTTACATTGTGCTCATTGCTAATACCATGTATGAATTACCTGTTAGTTACTTTTATAAGAGAACAACATGAGCTTAAACCCATGATGCTCTATGATAAAATTATGTTCAATAAGGTTAACACTAATTTTTGTTTTGCCTTCTGTAATATGATGCAAGTTATTTGAATAGCATAAATTAATGAGCAGCACACTACCAGTGAAATGTCATTGAATGGAGAAATCATATTTGGATCTGCTTCAGCCATTGGTTTGTGAATATTTCATATTTGAATCACAATGCATCATCTTGAAAATAATAAGCCAAAATTATTATTGATGCAGTTCTGTATCCTTGATAATCCAGTAGCATCACACATCACCCATAGCAAACCAGACTGATAATGATGACATGAAACTAGCAGTAACTAGTAATTAAAAGGCAAGAATCTCAGTAGCTTGAAAATCAAAGCATATTCAAGACTCCATTGATAATGTACTGGTGACAAGGCATTGTTTTCCCAAATTGCAGAAATTCCAAAGCTCAGTTAGGCGTTTTGTAATGTTCCTGAGCTTTATGCAACAGCTAAACTTCTTAGTAAACTTAATTAGAGCTCTCAGTAAACACAACTAACTCTCAAATTTAAGGATACTAATTAATAATTCCAGTTAACTTCCTTGATCTATAAGGTGACTTAGTCTTTACTTATATGTTAAATAACTTGCTGTCATTTGAAGGACTCAAAAGGAGAGATTGCATTTCAGGGTCATCTTAAAGGCTTGAAGAGCCCTTCTTTGGCCCACTCTGAGAATCACCACCCTACAGAATGACTAAGGAAATTCTCTTATTTAGTTATAACCATTGCTTTGAGCCACAAAGCCAGGGGGTTTAACTGGCCCATCAGGGGCTTGGGCAGCCCATAGTTCAGCCTCTATTACCAGTTAGAATTGACCTCAATTTCAGCTCCCTTGCTGCTTGTCTCAGGCAGATTAAGGTCAGCCAACTAAAGAAGTGACTGAATCACTTTACCTCTCAGCCCTTCAAAAATTAGCTGGATGATTTCAGAGACTGCATCTAGCTCCATATTCAGTGATTTTCCTAATCTTGGGGCTGCATTGGTATCACAGACACCCTGTGAATAGGTATTGTTTTCTAGTCATTCAAGGGTATCATGCTGTTGGCTCTGAGAAGAGTGTTAATCATTAATCACAGTGACGATGCTCCTGAATGATATTAGTACTTATTGGTTTCAAGTAAAAATGATAATAAATCTTATGCTCTCTTCCAGTTTTATTGTTACTACTAGTTTCCATTAAGACTGAGTCATCTCTAGTGTAGGAGGGTGGCTGGTCAGTGACTGTATTTCAGGGGCATCACTCCCATTTTCCTCTATAGGATGGGACTCAGCCATCCTGTGCTAAAAGTTAAAGAAGATGTTGGCTTTATCCAAAAAGAGCAACACCCGGGGAGTGAAAATAACCCCCTCATCTACAGGAGACAGGAATGGAATACCTATGCAGGGAGTCCCTCTGCTCCTGTGTAGAGAATAGTGATTTTCTTATCTTGCCTAAGAAAGTGGGCATCAGAGAATAAACTTTTAATACCATATTAGAGATTTGTTTTGGTGCTCTTTATTCTGACCCAATTGTGGACATCAATGGATCTCTCCTGAGGTTGCATTTATTTTTTTCTGTCCAAATTGGTGCTTGCTTTATGTCCATTATACAGCAGAGATAGGAGTATAAGAAGCTCCTTTTACAAAGATAGCCGTTATCACTTTAATAGAGTGATACCCCTCTTGGGGGCATTATAGCAAGGCTCTAGCATGCCACTGTGTCAAATGGCCAAATCTCATAGTACTACTTGGTTCAAACAAGTAAACTTTGCCACTTTTTCTTTCCCAAGACTTGGCTGTGTTTCACAGGTGGAAAGGTGCATCAACTCAAAGACTGCAGTCTCCCTTTTCAACCCTAAAGATCTCAATACATCAAAGAAGTGGGGAAAATGTGTTTAAACCCTTACTGAAAATTGTGGTTAAAACAACAACAGTAATTGTACACCTTCAAGGTCGTTGCTCCAACATTGAGGACACAAGATTGACTAAACCAATCCAGAGGGGGAGCTGACTGTAAATTGGTTGTGTCAGATGAAGACTGGATTCTCTAAATGCATCTCAATCTCAAGGCATATTTAAGTGCCACACTTTGTGGGAATTCGCAGAACACGGCATATTTAAAAATAAATTTTCATACTATGAATTAATCAGAAGACTTTTTGTTATCTTAAGAAAAAGTATTAAAAAGGAATCATCTAATTAAATGTTTCCTTGTGTTTTAAGAGCTTTCTTTGCTGCAAAACAACCAGTGATGAAAACACTGCTAATACATCTAAAACACTGCTAACTGATTATATCATGCTTTTATTATTTCTCCACCATACTGAATGTTTTCTTCCCTTTTGAGGTGCCCGCGGTCTGCAGATGACGAGCGAAAGCACCCTGTCCTCTGTCTTTTCTGCGGAGCCATACTGTGTTCTCAGAACATTTGCTGCCAAGAAATTGTGAATGGGGAAGAGGTGGGAGCTTGCATTTTTCATGCCCTTCACTGTGGAGCTGGAGTCTGCATTTTCCTAAAGTAAGTAGGAAGCTTCATAATGAACTTAGGGAATCTGAATCCAGTCTGGAGGCCATCATGGCAGGACAGTATGTTGATAGGATATGATCTGTCAGAAGTTAGAGCATAGACCTGTTATTCACATGCAATTGCATTTGAAAAGATACTTAAGTATCTTCTCAAATGTAAATAATAGTTTAAAAAATATCAAGTAAGTAGTTTAAAAAATAAGGAGTTAAAAATTGGAATCTGTTCACATTTTCATTATTTGTGGAAAACCTTAAACAAATATGGTAGACTTGAAATGAAATTGAGTTATTTGTATTGAGGTGGATGGACCTATAGTCTGTCATACAGAGTGAAGTAAGTCATAAAAGAGAAAAACAAATACCATACGCTAACACATATATATGGAATCTTAAAAAAAAAAGGTTCTAATGAACCTAGGGGCAGGACAGGAATAAAGATGCAGATGTGGAGAATGGACTTGAGGACACAGGGAGGGGGAAGGGTAAGCTGGGATGAAGTGAGAGAGTAGCATTGACATATATACACTACCAAATGTGAAATAGATAGGTAGTGGGAAGCAGCCGCATAGCACAGGGAGATCAGCTTGGTGCTTTGTGACCACCTAGAGGGTTGGGATAGGGAGGGTAGGAGGGAGATGCAAGAGGGAGGGGATATGGGGATATATGTATACGTATAGCTGCTTCACTTTGTTATACAGCAGAAACTAACACAACATTGTAAAGCAATTATACTCCAATAAAGATGTTAAAAAATTTTTTTTAATTTTAAAAAGAGAAAATATAATTAGTAAACATGTAAGCCAATATGAAAACACTTATTTCAAAGCACAAGTAGTACTCTGGATGTATGTGTTTGTGTGTGTGCTTGCATGTATCTGCCTATGTTTATTGGTTAACTTGTTTTTCCAGCTCAAACATAAGTGAAGAAAGGTTAACTATATACCTGACACTTTATTCCAATGATACATTGTAGAAGTATGAGATGGGATGGGATGGCAGGACGTAGGGACCCACTTTACTCTTTTGGTCAATAGATCCAGTGGTAGAATATTAAGGTTGTGTATGAAAATACTAAAATAAAAATATTTCTGATTTAATGGCCAAGAGACTTTTGTAGGTATGTGCGTCTTACTAGTAATGTGATGAGCTTGCTCAGCCTTTATATTTTGTGCCTGTTGGTGCATTTGGAGTTTCAGAATTACTTACAGAGGCACAGAAAAGTGAGACACCATAGTGATAAAATAATGCTTGAAGATGAACTGTTGAACTAAAAAGTCACGTTTCAGAAACTGAACTAGTTATCCTTAGCCAGACCAAAAAAGTCCCCCATCTACATCACAACCAAGCAGTTATTTGAAATTATAAGTAGGGGAGAGTTCTGGAAAGTCCCTTGTTGGGATTCGTGTTATCAATGAAATAATATCGCTTCTAGAGGTATAAAATTGTTTGGTTCAAAATATATCTTTTTTCCTATCTATCTATCTATATCTAACATTTTGTCAGCTGTATGAGATCTGCAAAATATTTTGCAAGTGTGTTTTACTTTTCACTTTTATAGGTAACTTTTTGCAAAGGGCCACGTAGTAAATATTTTAGGCTTTTTCAGTTATACAGTCTCTGCTGCAAACATTTAACTTGCCATTCTAGAGCCAAACCAGCCATAGACAATACATAAAGAAATGAGCATGGCCGTGTTAAAATGAAACTTCATCTAAGAAAACAGGTGGTAGGCCAGATTTGACCCACAAGCCATCGTTTGCTAACCCTTGCTTTAGATGATTTTTAGAATCTTCACAATCAGAAGTTTCCCACATTTGAAAAACCTTTATGAGTCAGAATTGGTAAGTCATTTATTTGCAAGTATCTTTCGTGTTTATATTTATAACATTCAGTTCACTTTGTATATGAGTGTCACACACATGCGTACACACACAACAGAGAGACGTACATTTAGAGTGTCTGCCTGGATAAAAACGAACTCACTGGAGGTTCTTTCTTTCCATTGCTGTGATTCTGTGATTTCAGTCTTCTGTGAACAGTGGAAGCCTGATCCTAAATGACAGTTGACTCTTTGACCAGGTTGAATGGTGGGTTGAATCATCAGATTGAGAGTATGAATGAATCAAGTATGAAACAGGAGTGTGAATGAATCAAGTAGAACAGAAGCAGAAGAGGGGAACATGAAGGCACAAGTACTTGAAATGACAGAGATCTAGGGGTGGAGGTTAGAGGTCAGAATAAAGAAACTTCGCTGGGGAAAAGGTAACATTCTGCTTCCATCTGGTACGTAACTAGGGAAACGCTGTGTATTAAAGTGGAGGTCAAAGCAGTGGTTCTGACATTGTAGTGGGCATCAAACTCCTGGACCCCGTCCCCAGATACTTTGATTGAATAGGTCTGGGGTGGAACCCCAAATTGCTTCTTACAGCGTACATCCTGGGTATTTTTATTCAAGTTGTCCGCAGGCCACGGTTTCAAAGAAGCTGCTCCAGAGGTTTGCCCTCATCAGCTTCCTTCCCTAACTGTCCCCGGGGCTGGTCACCTGACCCAGATCCAGCCTCTTTTGAACTTTCTACCTTCCTGCTATCAAACTAATCTGATTATCACCTAATTTTCTTTTGTGTGAAATTAAAGGAATTAATCTGGGCTATTTATCAACAGAAAGAATCTTTTTAAAAAATAACTCGCATCAAAACAAGCAAAAACCATAACTCTGTCCTCCCTGGGCATGTATTCTTTGACCCCCTACAGCAGTGTGAGAATCCTGAGACTCTCACTGATTTATATGTAAAATTTCTAAGGACCAAACCAAAAGAGAAGGCCAGAATAGCTGGGGCACAAAGTGGGAGAGGGCCAGAGATGAGGCTGCAGATGTTGGCAGGGTCAGGTCAGGGCATGTAGAGCTTCCTAAGGGGTTTGGCCTTTATCCCTGGAGAAATGAGAAGCCATCACCAAAGCACTACCAGTAGAGGGCTAATAGGAAATATAGGTTCCCGATTTGCACAAGCAGATCTTTAGCTGCCAGACAAGGGATTTGTTTCAGCCGGTACCCACCCCGCGTGGTGCTCCGCGGTTCCCATCTGGTAACGCACGCTATGGGATCACAGCAATGGTGCTAATTAAATGTCAGTGGGCTCAGGAGGTGCAGTAAGGCCTTCGCGCTCAGATTCCTGAGACAGAAGCAGGAAGGAGAAGCACGTCAGCCTTCCTGAAGCTCATTAGGGTTGGGGAGGGCTCGAATTCAGACAGCTGCCGTGTTCAGATCCTAAGTGGATGCTGCAAGAGGGCCCACAAATGAGCTCCAAAAGGAATAAACAAACATTTGTCTATACGGTATTAACAGGAAACACTTTCTTTGGGCAAGTCTTCCTTGACATCCTCCATCACCCCCTATTTTATGGACGGCATCCCTGATTCTAGAAGTGTGTATTTAACTCGTTTTTGAAGTTGATCACTCCCACACGTTCAACACTGACACAAATGAAGGGAGAAGTTTTCCAAAGTAATCAATTAAACACACATATCAAGAAAAGATCAGTGCTGAGGCTGCAGGTGGTGACAGGCAGCCAGACCCTCCTGTCTTCTCCTGAGGGCCCCGACCTCCTTTCTTGTGTGTTGCCGTCTGCGTTCACTGTGGCGCAGGGAAACAGTCTGAAAATCATCACCAGCCTCTCCCCGGAACTACGCTGAGGTCCTTTTCTCAGTGAGTGGCACGGTCCTCTAAGCAGTTACCCAGCTAGTAAGCCGGCATTCATCTTGACCCTTCCTCCACCCCACGCAGACAGCAAGGCCCACCAGTTCTGCCCTCTGGGCATCCCTCAGACCTGCCCGTTTCCTCCTTCTGCCTGGATAGCTGCTGCAGCAGCTTCCTTTCTCTTTGCCTCCAGTCAAGTCCCTTTTTAATCCACTTTCCACAGGGAGGTCAAAGGGATTGTTTTAAAATGCCAACTGCTCGTGTCTGTCTCCTGACCAAACTTTTCAATTGCTTTCAGTAGAACAGGGCACTCACTCAGGAACAGGGCTTGGGAGACCTTTGATGATCACGTGCCTGATTACTTAAAAAAAAAAAAAAAAAAGTTGGCTCATAGTTATCAAGTACTAAGTGCTGTCTCTCATGTAATCATCACCATAACTCTCTGAGATAAATATGAATAAAGTACTGTTATTGGACAGGGTCTGTTCTGAGCCCCTGATGCTCAGCACTGTGCAATCCCACTCTCTAGCCGTCTCTGTCAGCATCCTTCCTCTTGTACTTTATATTCCAGAATCTGCTGACATCCTTCACTACCACCTAGTCCAAATCACCATCATCTCTCACCTGGGTTATTTTAATAAGCGTCTAACTGTCCTCTCCGCTCCATTCACCCTTGCGTTCTTCAATGTCTTCTCTAACAGCAGCTGCACTGAACCCTTAAAAATGCAATGCAGATTATGTCACCTCTCCGCTTACAACTTTCTGATACTTCTGGTTTCTAAACAAAAGTCAAATCTTGGCATGGGCTTCATAAGCTTCTCAGTATGACCTGACCCCTGTGCCCCCTGTACCTATATCTCCAGCCACCCTCTTCCTCCCCAACTTAAGCCACACTGGTCTCATGGCTGTGCTTTGAAGCCAGCAAACATAATCCTGCTTTATGTCATTGAATTTACTGTTTCTTCTGCCTTTTAAATTTCTGTTGCAGTGTTCTGACCATTTCATTTGAAATGGCAGCCTCCATCCCCCCTAGTGCTCATTCCTCCATCCTCTGCTTTATTTTCTTCTTAGCACTTTCCCCTTTTGGTAGACCATATATTTGTTTGTGTATGTCTCCCCCATGACCAGAAAGTCCACTCTGTAAGGGCAGGAGTTTTGTCTGTTTTGTTCACTATTGTAATCCCTATGCTTAGAGAATTACTGGGCACACACTACAGTTTCCTGAAGTATTTTAGAATGAGCACACAAAGCATACACCAGTCATAGTATTTAGCTCATGATTGCTTACCTGATGAAGA